TGGAGCTGAAAGACCTGCTGAAGCCGATTTCGGATCACATCCATGAGATCCAGAGCTTCCGTGAGCGAAACCGCGGCAGCAACCTTTTCAACCACCTGTCGGCCGTCAGCGAGAGCATCCCCGCTCTGGGCTGGGTGGCTGTGGTGAGGAAGATGAGCATTACACAGTTTAAAACACACTAATGTATACAGGACAACACACGTAAGAAGATGCGTGTCAGCCTAAAATAACATTAAAAGCACAAAAACACGTATGTATACAAAAGAATAAAATAAACTCCTTCAAGGCAACTTTAACCTTCAATAAAATGTAGGCATGGAAAATATCCATCTTTCTTTCAATATAAATGATGTACAAGGGGGAAAAAACATCCTAAATTGAAAGTAGGTTTTACTTTTTGATCATCTAAGATACACAAATGGTATTTGAACATTGGCACGCACATGTAAAACCATACAAAGTCAGAAAAAGTTCAACTCTAAGTAAAAAAATCTAAGTTCTCTTACCTAATATGTAAATAAATGTGAATGTTTGTTATCCCCTTCTAAAACTATAACAATGTCGCAGACAGATAAGTATAAATAAACACAGCCCACTGTGTTTTACAGCATGTGTCCCACTATCTGCCTTTCATCAGTCTCTGTCCTTTGAGTTTAGGGATGAAAATCATTTAGATTAAGATCAAAGATGTTCTACTTGAGTTCTCAAAGAAAAGCCTCGAGAGCTGCTCAGTGTTTCTGTCAGGACGGACCTTTACCACACAGGTCATATCCAACATCTCTCTACTGTATGTCATTATGACAAATCTGCTGAAAGACAGATACGTCTGACAGTGTTTCTGCCATACTAACATTGAGATGAATGTTTCCTAATGAGCATGAATATCTCTCAGTGTCAGAAGCCGGGTCCATATGTGAAGGAGCTGAATGATTCTGCCATCTTCTACACCAACAGAGTGCTGAAGGACTACAAGGAAACGTAAGTAACTCGTTTTTCACAGCACAATAAATGTCCTGTCAAAAAAATTGATTATTCCATGTTTAACCTAATTTTAAAACAATGACAATCTTGAACTTGTGATACTTGGAATTTTGCGCCATGATTTTTTTTTTTAAATGAATCTTTGAGTGATTTGGATAACTTGCAGTACATTGCCTAATAGCACAAATTGTACTTCTGATCTTACAAATTCAAGTCTAGATGTGATGATAAATGGAAGTAAAAACGCTTGTGCAAGGTTTTCTAAATACAAATGGACTTCTATTTCTAAAATGCATTAGGTTAGATTTCTATGACTACAATAGCCTGCTTCTCTTAATCTGTAAAATGTTTCACTTTAGATGTTCATGATGTTCTGCTCTAACCAACCCTTACTTTCCTTTTCTTTTGCACCTTTTTTCGTCACTGCTTACCTCATTCTCCTCTCTGTTTTCATCTGACCATCATATCTTTGTCAAACCAAACTCCCCTTTTCCCCCAGCGACCAACGTCATGTAGACTGGGTGCGTTCCTACCTTGGAATCTGGACCGAGATGCAGTCCTTCATCAAAGAGCACCACACTACAGGACTGGAGTGGTGCATGAGCGTGAGTACTTCTTCTCTCAAAGTTAAGAGCCCCTCTGATAAAAATCAAACGATTTACCAATGTATCGGGTTTTTATATGCTGAAAGGCACAGAACCAGCTGCTGTATTTTAAGGTACGTATCAGAAACAGGGTCCTAGATTGTCAGAGCTTCATTTATCACATTTGGGAACATTTCCTGTCAATTTGCTTGGTGGGCCTTTCCATATCATTTGAGTAACTCTTGGTTAAAACAAGGGGGTGTCAGAGGAGAAGCCATGTAAAGCTACATATTGGTATTTTGCAAGATTGGTTTTACAATTTCAAAACCATGGCGCAAGACTCGTCTTTAAAGATACACATTTTGATGCGCAACCTAGCACGAGTCATGGTGCAGCGGGGTGAGGCCAGCCCCAACATTTCTCAATGAGTGCTTCCAGACCCTTTTTTCCCAGTTTTGCATACGCATGCCTGCAAATAATAAATTACTGCTGTAACAACTTGTTTATTATCTTAGCTGTCTTTTCATCTAGTTTCCATTCGCAGGCTGAGATATTTTTACATCGGAGCTCAAATTAACTCCTGCTTTTGCAGTACACTTCCATTTTTAGTTATGGAGCAGCCGGTTACATAAACCGCTGCAGAGAGCATGAATGAATGAGCTCCTCTCCAGAAGCTGCACCCGAGGGTTCGCCGTGGATCTCCCAAAACCTCCGTCACTCCCACATATTTCTGTTTATGGATGTCTCCTCTGGGACTCCTCTGCACTCACAAGATCCCAGAGATTATTATGGCTTGAAACCAAATCCTTTTACGCACACTTGACCCTTTTTATTTATTGTAAGCCAGACTCATCTTTATTAATTCAAGGACAAGCATTTTTTGTCCTTTTTGGAAATATGTGTATTGACTTTTATTTGATTGTGCTCTTGCTGAGAGTGAAATTAGTAGATAAATACCAAACTCATATCCGTACGTACTTATCAAGCTTTAACCTGGTTAGCATAGCAAAACATTAGAAACAGGGGGAAACTGCCAGCGTAGCTGCTATCAAAAACCTATACCAACATAAACAGCGAGACTAAGATTTGAGATAAAAAAACTAAAGGTTTGACGAGGGAATATGTGTTGGACTTTTTCTTGACCTGGACCACTGACTTCCCCAAATGCTAGGAGGAATATTTTAGCAGTTTTCCTCCTGTCTCCATTCTTTATGGCTAGATAAGAGTTTAATTTCACTTGCAGGTCTGAAACTAGGTCCATCCATTGCTAATTTTTCTGAAAAATGCTAAAAGTGGGCAACTGGGGGAGAGGGTGGGCATGGAGGGAGACTGTAGATGTGTGAGGCTGTGACATCTGATAAGACGATGTTAAACTTCATTTCTAATATGAATTTAAAGATATAAATCATTCATGAAGGAGAGATAAGGTTCAGGGCTTACGAGCAAGCAAAGGACCCCAAATGTTAAACGTTTTAAATGATTTGGTTAAAGCCTGATGTGATGCTAATGCCCAACAGCTGTGTGTGTTTTCTACAAGCAGAAACTTGAGAGCCTCCAGTGGCTGTGTGTGTGTCAGCTGTTGTCCCTGCTACTATCAGACGACAGAGCTGAAGTGTGTGTGAGGGACGGAGTGTGTGTGCCTACAAGGACGGGAGTGTGGGGTACTAACAGGTGGTCCTCAGGGTTTACTTGAATGGATGTTTTCTTCACAGAAGAACCCCGACAAAGAGTCACACAGCCAGCCGTAACCTAAACCGCTGGGCTGGTCCCGCTTTAACACAGCCGTCATCTGCAGGCCGGCAGGGTTTAGTGACACGCTTATACTCTCACATGCACAGGCCAACATATGGAGGTGGCTTTACACACACACACACACACACACACACACACACACACACACACACACACACACACACACACACACACACACACACACACACACACACACTCGTTGCTGGTCCTAATCCAGTGGTATGCGCTGAGCTGTTTAGTGTAACAGGTCAGCATTGTTCAGCAGTGATATTCACGACACATGTGCCTCGGGTCAAAGGTCAAATAGTCTCAGCTGCACTCAGAAGCGCGTAATGTGACAGTTGAACCGCTGTGATAGGTGTGTGTGTCTGTCTCTGGCAGCTGTGCAAGGTCTTCAGTCTGTGTGCAAATGTGTGTGTGTGTGTGTGTGTGTGTGTGTGTGTGTGTGTGTGTGTGTGTGTGTGTGTGTGTGTGTGTGTGTGTGTGTGTGTGTGCGTGCGTGCTTCTCTTCACTGTAGTCGATAGAAAGCTGGGAACTTCTACTGTACACATCTCAAGAGTTAAAGCCCTTCTTTTTAGACACGTTGATGTGGACTGGATAGCACTGATTAGATTTACCACTTAGTCAGTCAGCAACAATTTTCAAAGCCACTGAACTTCATTTTAAATTCTAGCGGAGATGCCAAAGTTTACGGATAGACAAAGTAGGTCAGGTTGATTTTAATTTTTGAGAGAACTACACAAAAACCTGCGCACTGTATCAAAAGATCTAGACAAGTTTTATTGTAGAATTTCTCAATCTAACAGTCTTTTGTCAGGCATGCTCACACACAACATCACTCAAAAGGATGGCCTTTCTTTCCTCCAGCACCTGGATTTTTGCTACCCTCATAATAATTGTTTTAGAAATCTGTATGGGAAATGCACAAGATATTTAGAATATTCCCATTTGTTGAATTGATGATATAGTTAGTCGTTGGTTTGAATATTCCCCCCTGTGTAAACATCATATAGCTATAACAAAGAGCTGGGAACAAGCTGGTACAACATATAAACACATAGTACAAACCTTTTATAGAAAGTAAAAGCAGCTAAAGGAAGATAAAGGTCTTAGGACTGGTAAAAAGTGTCATATACCATGTAGTCAGGAAACAATCTCATACACCATGTGGTCAAAAAGACAGGAAGCGTCAATATATTTCTAGTGCAACACTCCCTCTGCTGGAGAGAAATGTCCCTGCAGCTTTCATTCATAAACCACCTGTCACCACTGCGTTTACTTTCATTTAAAGCCTGTTTTTCTCTACCCTCCAGGGCCCCATCGCTCCTCCTTCTATCTTTGAACCCCCCAGCGCTCCCTCCTGTCCTCCCCCACCTCCCCCTCCTCCCCCCGGCCCACCTCCGGTCTTCACTGATGACTCCCAGCCTCAGACTGGCACCCCCCCACACTCAGCACTGTTTGCCCAGCTCAACCAAGGCATGGACATCACTAAAGGTGGGTTGAAGAAAGGTTATAGTAAAGCATGGACTAAGTATTATACAAATTTGACTTTTTTAGACAGACTTAAATCAATTAAACTAAAAGGAATTAAGTGTGACAATTAACAATGATACACTTTTGTTGTGATAGTCTTTGTATTTACTTTTAGTCTACGTCCCCTATATCTTTTTATTATTTTCCTATCTTCTCTTTGGCATTTTTTTGTTATTGTGTTAGGACTTCTATGTTGTGGTTTGTTTTGTTGAAAACTGGACAATTACATTAACTTTATGTTACAATAAAACGTTTTTTTATTTTTTTTTCACATGAATAACACATTTTACATAATGTTTTCTTTATAATTGGTTTGTTTAAAATGTCTGAGGTGGTTCACACATATATAAATTCATTCTTACATCCCTGCATGTGCAAATACATTTTTTTTTAAATCTATAGGTCTAAAGCATGTATCAGAGGAAAAAAAGACCCACAAGAACCCAAATCTGCGTTCGCAAGCAGCACCGACCAAAACAAAGTCTCCGGGGAACATGAACTCCTCCAAGGCAACCGTCCAGAAAAGACCCCCTCTGATGATGCTGGATGGGAAGAAATGGAGGGTGGTACGTCAAATGTTTCTATTTAAGAAAGTAACCTTTTTGTGTGATGGTATGTCACATGTTATTGACTGAATCCAATTCCTTGTGTTGTAGGAGAACTTTGAACAGAAACACGACCTGGTCATAGAGGAGACAGAGTTAAAACAAGTGGCCTACGTTTTCGGCTGCAACAACTCCACCCTGCAGATTAAGGGCAAAATTAACTCCATCATCATTGGTGAGTGGCCTGAAAATAGACTGGAAATGTAATGAATCATTTCTGAATATGACTTACTTTACACGTATCATCTCTTTCCAGACAACTGCAAGAAGCTGGGTTTAGTTTTTGAGAACGTGGTTGGGATTGTGGAGATAATCAACTCCAAGTCAATTCAAATACAGGTGAGGAACACAAAATATTGGCTTTCAGATCCAACATTCCGGCTTTAGGGCATCTGCTTGAACAGATGTATTCACATATTATGGCGAAATGTTTGAGTTTGGCAGCAGTTCTCCTGATTTCAGGTGATTTTCGATTATCTTTGCACCACATGAATGCAGCATTACAGCAATGCTCATCAACTGTGATGGCTAGCATTTAGCTTCACTTTGTATGCAAGCAGCAGCTGCGCTATATTCTCATTCAGTGTCAGGTGGCACTTGTTTTCATTGTATCTGTTACAAAATTTTGCAATCAGTTTAATTTTTATATCAGTGCACATTTTGCCACATCAGTCATTTCGAGATGTCTTTCTTTAGGTGTTGGGAAAGGTTCCCACCATCTCCATCAACACGACAGAGGGCTGCCAGGTCTACCTGAGCAAGGACTCTCTGAACTGCGACATCGTCAGTGCCAAGAGCTCCGAGATGAACATCCTGGTACCACAAGACGACGACTACGTGAGTGTCTGAGATAGAAAGGGACAGGGAGGGATCTGTGTGAACTGGGAAGCTTCTTCCAATCAGATCTTTTCATGCAAAGGCACATTGCAATGAATAAGAAACATTCTCAGTATGCATTAGATTTTGTTTGATTTTTTTTTTTTCATAATTTATGAAAATATAATTAAATAAATGTTTGTTCTTCTTTGTTGTACCACAGAGGGAGTTTCCAGTACCGGAGCAGTTCAAGACGGTGTGGAACGGCTCCAGGCTTGTGACGGAGCCCACTGAGATGGCAGGCTGATGGACGCTTCATTATCCTTAGCATTTGTTTTTATCTTTTTTTTAAATAATCTCTCCGTCTAAAATACAAAGGGATTATTGCAACAGATTCACTTTTGGTCTGCTCGTTGTCTCTCAATTTGTAATGTCATATCTCTGTAGCACTTTGAAACTATTAAGACAAGTTGAACCAGTGATAAGGTTTATTAATCTTCACTACAAAACACATCCCCACACAATAAATAGCTCAGGCTTAAGTCCCACAAACAGTGTGTTTACCTTTTCTTACATGTCTGCGCACTAGCAATGAAGGCATTTATGTAACAAACCATTATATTTCAACATTATAACCACTGTGCTTTTTTAAAATTCACTATCTGAGAGTTAAAGCACAATTTAGATCACAGCAGATACATTATTCTAGAGAAACTGTTACATAATGTTCACAAACATCACTTGGAGTTACGTTTGGGACAATGTGGTATATTTTCCATCAAATGAAGTGTGTCTTAGTAACTCCTTAATGCGCATAATGTGCGTCATGTAGTACTGTACTGGCAGTCTATATATATAATCAGTCTTCACTACTAACTTCTATGAATATTTAGACATCAAGTTACAAGCACTGCACATTTGTAAACTCTTAAAATTGATAGTAGTAGTAAACATCCACTTGAGCACTTCCTACTCTCTCTATCACTTTGTAGCAATGTATCACATGGCACCAGCATACGTAAGAGAAGTTTACACCACTAATGCTTTTCAAAACGTTTAATTTACATGAAACAACTTGATGTTATTGTGTATCCTTTTTCAAATAAAACCAAAACCCTCAGTTCTTGCTTGTTGGTGTTATTGCAAAAGAGAACAAGATATTTCACTATCAGAGACGAGAAATATCACAATAATGACAAGGACGCTCCAAATTGAAAAACAGATAAAGACTGAAAAATCAAGAAAAATCCACAATATTTACAGATAAAGAGAGGTAAGACAGTCACAGATTAAGTTTCAATATTTTCATTTTCAAGTAGCTTTTAAGTGAGTGCGGTCATTATGGAAACAAACAGTATAATTTAGCTTTTTAAAACTGTTTCAGTACTTGAGGACACAAAAGGTGGAGATCAATTATCAAGATATAAGCTCAAATAACATGTGTGTCGAAGACTTCTTTCAGTGTTTGATCACCATATTTCCCTGAGAGTCTTGAGTAAAGAGCATCTCGTCGTCCTCCTCCTCCACCAGAGATGTGTAAGCGCTCGTTCTCCCCGTCCCACAGTTTGTGTTACTCTGATCTTTGAGTGGACTCCTGGTTTGCAGACCTCTGTGTGCGATCACCCTGAAGCCTTCAGAGTCCTGAGTGAACAACATGGCCAGACTGTCCTCGTCCACCTCCCTGCAGGACTGCTGTGGCGCTCGCTGTTTTAAAGGAGTGCTTGGCTTTGTCCACTTGAACTGTGACTCAGGGCTCTCCTCTTTATCAGCCCTTTTCCAAGGCTGCACGGGAATATGTTTTTGAGGTGATGCACTTTTTGGTTCTGTCCATTTATGATAAGAAAGAGGTTCAATATGAGAGAGAGCCGAGTGCTTTTTGGGGGACAGAGAAGACCAAACCCTGCTGTTTTCTTTCTCATCATCCATCTGAGTGTTTTTCAAGGATCTTTGAGTTGAGGTTCTACCTTCCACATCGATCTGAATACCAAAGGCATCCTCACTTTGTAAACTGTATGGGAAACTTGGCTCAGAGTTCTTCCCTGTAGTATTTTTCTCATTAATCTGGTCACATTCATCGTCATAATATTGGCTAAATGTGAGCAGCGGATCCTGACTCCACGCCTGAGGAGGAGGTTGACTGTCAGCTGGGAAAGAGGAGGCTGCAGTGGCCCTCCTCTTACTCTGTGGTGGATTTATCTCCTCAAACGGCTCATCTCCATATTCACGGTCCATGTTTTGAGAATGTGTGTGACTTGCTTCCTGCCACTCTGATGCTTCAGGCTCAGCCACATTTTCACTTTCCCACTCATGATACACACAAGGGTCAGAGTTGTGTAAGTCAGATATTTCAAGATCCATCTCACGTCTTCGTTTTGTTCCCGATGACACAGGCGTGGGTGCAGTGAGGGCATGCGTGGATGAGGCGGCTGATGAAGAAGGCTGCAGATGATCTGTGTTTGGCACTTCAGAAGTTGTCATCTTATTGAGAACTTCAGACAGAATGTGTAGAAAAAAACAATATGTTAACACTGGTCGATGTGTTTGCTATATCTCATAATTGAAGTTGTTTTAAATTTTGCCAGTTTTTAATGATTTATAATAGTTTCTTTTATTTGCATATTGACTGATTAATGTGCCATTTAATGTGTGTTTTACGACCGCTGTATTCGTCTGCCTGTATTGTCTGTGTTTTATCTGTTGTAACTTTGTTATTAATTGAATGGCCTTATTTAAAATAAGATGATATCTATCCTAAGAAAATGTCTTGACAACCTGATGGCAGTAGGGATCTTGCAACATACCTCTGCGCTGAGCTGTGAAGAAGGTGGATAAAGCGCTCTGTTTTGTCTTTGGCATCTCCATTTTGGTCTGAGTGAAGTTGAGTGCCACCGACAAACTGTATCCCCTGCCCTCAGTGAAGGGATTCAGCAGCTTAGAAATGGGACGAGGGGCTCGTTTCTAAAACACAAGATGTAACAAAAGGTAAGTAAAAATCCTACTAAGATACTCACTGTTAAATGTCTTGATTCACACCTTTATTTATAGAGCTAGCAAAATAGCTATTCAATCAGAATTTAAAAAGCTAGTTTCCACACCTGCTTAGCTTTTCCTTTCAGCTGCACAGTGTCCAGCCAAACTCCACACTCCTCCTGGGTGGAGGTCTGTAGAGATGGTTTGGAGGTCTTCATGGCAAGAGGGGAATAAAGCTCTGAAATACATTCAACAAAACAAAATACTGTTGTTCAATAAGGTAATCTAGAAATCTTTGCATAAAAAATGTAAAACATTGATACCACAGTTTGTCAAACAACATGTAACATTTACAAAATTATTAAATGAATGAATGACTATTTGCACTACATCGACAGTAATATACAGTTTGCTTTAAGAGCAATATCCCGTTCGATTTGTTATTGTTAATTTAATCACACCATCATTTTAACACATTTCTAACTAAGGAACAAACCGGTGTTAACTATCAGTTAGCCACCATCGCAACAGCTAACGTTAGGTGATTTGTATTTATAAATGCCTTACTTTAGCTCTCCTTATAACACAAGTGGTCATATTAGATTTGAACTGACCTCATAAAATGGCTCTGGGATGTTTCTAGCTTTCGTTTGTCCTTCTTTAAACTTATATAGCTTAGACTTTATTATCGTTTCTTCAGAAATGTGTCCTCTTCCGTTTGTTTGAGTCTCGCGCCTCGGTGATGTGCTGCCGCTGATTTCGACTGGGTAAAAATGAAAAAATATAAACGAATCTTAAAATTGTTTTTTACTCTAAAGCCTTTAAAACGATAGATGTAAATATCACAAATACGAACTGTTTAATTTTAATTCGGTATTTATTAATCTTTAATTAAATATTTGGTTTTCTTTTAGGCACAATGGACACCTAATATATTGACGTCTTTGGGTCCTCGCAGAAGGTGTGTTTACGCTGACGTCACAGCAGTTTGCCGAAGGGGTGAGTTAAATGTCTTTTCATTTCGTTGATTAAACACTGATAGTGAAAAATAATGCGAGCCTTTGACATGTTACCACAATAATGGACACGTATAGAAACATTATTGTTTACGAACAATAAGCGCTATCGTCCAATTATAATAAATCACAAAGGAAGTGCTTACGAGCTAGCTAGAGAGCTAACTTCAGGCTAGCTAGTTTAGCAAAACAAGACATTGAAAGCTGGTGATTGTCTTCGTTAAGAATGTTTTTCTCTAATTCTTCGTCGATCAAAAACTTATTTGAGTGAAACAACGATTTCTAGTCAACACGGCAGCATTTGTAAGCTATGTATTGTTTAACTAATGTGGCTAACCCGTACTTATTAGATATATGGTATTTACAGCGAACAAATTCTGGCTTTTCATAGATTTTGCTCAACAATTATTATTATTATTATTATTATGGTGTTGATCTGTTTAATTGAAAAATAATAAACCTCGGGACATCACCCCAAAGCTGTGCTTAAAATAAATTAAGGTTGAGAATGATTTTCCCTTCTTAAAAGTATTGTAACACAATTTCAACATTACTGCGGACCTGCGATGTTTATCTAAACTCCTTTTATAAATGTGCTGAACACTTGCCCAGAGCCAAGGTGACGAGCCCCATAAATCATTTTGCATTCGGCTTAACAACACACTTATTTTAAATGTCTCAATTTGTGTGTAAAATTGTGCCTGAAAGATTCTTTCCTAAAGGTGGATGTTTTACTTTGTGAAAAGGTTCATTTGTATGATGCTTCTCCTGAGTAACACGTGTATCACAAATAAACTATAATAACACTTTTTTTGTAAATGGTGGGAAAGTTTACCTTCTCTGTAAAGATAGATTTGCCTGGATGTGTTTAGTCCATAAACTACATATGTATACATTGTTGGCCATATTTATCAGTCAGTTTTGAGTCACATTATAACTTAAATCTCAATTCAGATCAAGGACTGACACATCGGCATCATGTTCCATGGCATACCAGTTACAGGAGGGGTGGGAGGAGGTAAGTCATTCTAATAAATCCAATGTCTTCTGATGATGTATTCAAGTTAAAATCTCTCCTCCTTTCAACAGTAAAATACAGTTTATGTCACTCAAAGCATGTCATCTTTTTTTTCCACAGCTCCGGCAAACAAGCCTGAGTTATATGAGGTAAATGTAACAACTTCTTTTGTGCTTTATCAATGATTTGGCAAACAGGATTTGAAGCTGCATAAACCCTAGAGCAGCACAATGATTAATGTAATTCAAATGATCTGTAATATATTATTTTTAATTGTTCTGGGGAAAATGTGTTAAACATACAATTGTATGGATGTTGCTACTCCAAGGCATATTTGTATTAAAACCGTACAAAAAAAGTAATATTCTACTAGTAAATAAATTACAAATCATTTATTTTCAGGAGGTGAAATTGTACAAAAATGCAAGAGAACGAGAGAAGTAAGTGTCCTATTTTTGACCAATTGCCAGCCTTATCTGAACACAGAGTACCCCAGGGATTCATCATACTGTTAGTGTTGTAACACATTTCTTCCCTGTTTCTGAAGGTATGATAACATGGCAGAGCTGTTTGCTGTTGTCAAGACCCTTCAGGCTCTGGAGAAGGCTTACATCAAAGACTGTGTCACGCCCAATGAGTGAGTTGTATTTGAGTTTATAAATTGTAGGCCTGCTTTAAATGCTATATGGTTATATGTCATTTATAGTGCTGTTGGACTGCTGCTAGATCGCCCCTTGTATACAGGTGTAGTGTTATTCCCATCCTCTTCGTCTTTTTTGAAACAATTAACACCATCAAATATGGATTGAAGCAGAATATTTAATTAGATACTTTTGTGTATAATGTTCACATTTTGGAAATGTTTTCCTTTTTAATATAATATTTACTTTTGTGCTTTATAACTCTGTGGAGTGTGGAAATGTTGGGATCACACAAGTTGCAACTCATTATGAGGTTTCTATGTTGTTTTTAACGTGCAGTATTCTGTTCCAGGTACACCGCCTCCTGCTCCAGGCTGCTGGTCCAGTACAAGGCCGCCTTCAAACAGGTGCAGGGCTCTGATGTGGGCTCAATCGATGATTACTGCAGAAAGTACAGAGTGAGTTTTTCTTTTGAAGAGCAGATGATTCAATGAACTATTTAACGTTGTGAACATTTTCACAAATGGGCAATGAAGGTGCTCTACCAATTGCAGTTATATATATATATATATATATATATATA